TCTTTATACCAGGCAATTTCTTTGTTTTGAGAATCCTCTTAATGCTGTTCACTTTATTCCAGAGCTCCTTCATTGAAATGTTTTGATTTAATGAAGATACGAAGTCTTTCCATGACGATCTTTTGCTTTCTTTTATAGTTCTGTTCGCTATGGCTCTCAATCTTTTGAACTCAATTGCATCAAGCACATTTCTTGTTTTTCTGAATTTGTTAAGGCCCGTTTCTTCGCTTTCACGGCGTTTTGGCATCTTTCATTCCATCATGGTACTCTTGTGTGAGATAATCAATTCCTGTAAGAGGAATTATTCCATGAGCTGCTTCTGTTATTACGGTGGCGCTGTGATCGCTATTGTTTAGATCTGCAGGAACCAACTCAATTTTTTTTCTTTTTATTTCACGATACGCTGTCCAATCTGCTTTCTGGTATTGTCAGTGACGATTCCTCATTTGCGTTGGAGTCTCGTGCTTCATTTTCATGGTGATTGGGAAGTGGTCGCTTCCATATAAATCCGATTTTGTTTCCCATCTAATTTTTGGGGCCAGTCGAACATCGCTGAAACTAAGGTCGATTGATGAAAATTTTTTGCTTTTGGAGCAAAAATGAGATTTTCTCCCGTGTTTAGAAATGTGGTTGTAGGGCTGTTCTCTAAATTTTTTCTTTAATTTTCTACATCTGTGCCCATTGCCAGCTAGTGTTGAACCCCAAGCTATATCATTGGCATTAAAGTCACCTAATAACAGGTAGGGTCTGGGTAGCTGATTAACAATTTGCTGATTATCATGTGTAGTAAACGGTTCTGAGGGTGGCATGTAAATGTTACAGACAGTAAGTGGCTCATTTTGGTAAATTTTGACAGCTATTGCTTCGAAGTTTGTGTTAAGAGGGAGCACTTCAGTAAATATGTCATTTCTAACAAAAGTTGCGACTCCTCCCCATGATTTTGAGGTTCCTGTTCTGTCTTTTCGGTATATATCGTAATCTTTGTATCTCACTGTTTGAGTTTCTTTGAAGTGTGTTTCTTGGAGACAAACTAGTATAGGGTTCTCTTCGCTTATTAGCATTTTTAGGTGCTCTAAATGTAGGAAAAATCCGTTACAATTCCATTGAATAATTGTTTTCATTTTGATTGGCAAAGTGTTGCTTATTTCCCAGATTATTGTAATCACCATGTGTTATTTTTAAATGCTCGGTAGTGTTCAAGGAGTGCTCATTCAAAATCTTTATTAATTTTGAGGTTCTTAGAAAAATATTTCATTTACGAAAATTCTCGGAACCGGATCGTTTTTAATTTGGAGGTCGGCAAAACTTGTCTATTTAATTAGGTACTAAAAACTCGAAAATAACCATTTTCTTTCCACTAAACCGTAAGATAACATGAACACGAACTCAAGAAAAAATAGTGAGCCGTTTGGCGTGACCTACTCCCCCAAAATAACACAACAACGAGGTTTTATATGCCATCGGTCCATTTTTTTTTTTTTTTTTTAATTTGTTGCGCATTCTGCATATAGACTCTCAATCGGCGATGTTCTCTAAGCTCCTGAGCATATCCTCAATGCAGCATTGTGGATTGGGTCAAGAATTTTTAAAATACTTCTTTTTGAGGTTCCATATACACATGCTCCATAATCTATTTTGCTTCGGATCATCGCTTTGTATACCTTTAATAGACTGCTTCTGTCAGCTCCCCAACTAGAATGCGAAAGACATTTTAGGAGGCCATGTTTTTTTAAACATTCTTGTTTACGACCTTTAATGTGGTCAGTCCACTTTAAGATTTTATCTAGATGGATTCCTAGGTATTTTTGGTGATCTTCAAACAATATGTCGGCCATCCCTAATTTTAGTTTAGGATTCATAGAGCATCCTCTTATTCTGCATATATGCATAGCCTTTGTTTTATTTATCGAAAAATTAAAACCGCTATTTCGTCCCCATTTTTCTGCTTTTCTCAGTGCTTTCTGTAGTTTCCACTCAATAAAATTGTCTACGAACTAATAGTAATACATCATCGGCAAACATTATGATTTTAAAAGGCCATTTGAAATTCGGTGGTAGATCATTCATAGCAATCAAAAACCAAGTTCCACTTAGAGGTGAACCCTGGGGCGTGCCATTTTGAGAAACGTGAATTGATGACAAGGAGGACCCAACTCTGACTTGATATTTTCTTTCTTTAAGAAAGTTTTCAATGTATGCCTTCAATTTTCCCTGAACACCATAATTATCTAAGATTTGCATTACGCGGCCTGTTAACATGGTATCATAAGCTTTTTCCAAGTCCAAAAAGACAGCAACCAAATATTCTTTTTGTGAGAATGCTTCTTCTGCTTCATGTTGCAGTAACAAAAGTGCATCAGTTGTGGAATGTCCTTCTCTGAAACCAAATCGATGGGGGGTAAATAGTTTGTTTCGTTCCATGTAATCAACAAGTCTATTGTTTACCATTTTTTCCTGTAATTTAGAGAGGCACGATATTAATGAAATAGGACGAAAGTCATTTGGGTGGATTGGAATATCTTTTTTTTGGGACCGGAGTGATAATTGAGGTTTTCCATAGCTTAGGTAGTTCACCAGCATCCCAGATCTCGTTGTATAGTTGAAGTAAGTATAATCTAACTTCATCTGATAAGTGTTTTATCATTTCGTTAGAAATTTCGTCTATACCTGTTGCTGATTTTCCACGACATTTTTTAATTACCATTTCCATTTCTTTCAATGTGAAAGGTTCATCATAGCAAACATTAGAACATGGCACTTGTAGCCTTGCCATTACTTCTTGGTTTGCAAAGTCCGCTGGTTCCTCATTATTGAGGCAACTAATCGATGGTTTACTAAATTGTTGTGCCAATGTCTCTGCTATCTCTGATGGATTTGTTATTATATTCCCTGCTACATCTATCCCTGATATTATGTTTTTGTTGTTAATTCCACGAATAGATCTAATTTTGATCCATACTTCTGTAACTGATGTTTCACAGTTAATAGAGGAAACGAATTCTCTACACGATGACTTCTTGCTATCTTTAATAGTTCTATTTGCGATTGCTCGAAGTCTCTTAAATTCAACTGCGTCATTCAAACTCCTACTTCTTGAATGACGTAATGTACCTGTTGAAAGCCCGCTTTTTTGCTTTCACTGCTTCCTGACATCTTTCGTTCCCCCATGGAACTCTTTTCTTAAGGCGACCATTACTTGTGATTGGAATGTTGTCGTAGGCTGCTTGGAGAATAATATTATTCAAATTCGCTACCTGAAGATCTATGTTATTAGCTGTTCTTTCTAGATTATCCTTGGCCAATATAATTGATTTCTGAAAAGATTCCCAATCAGCTGCCTCATACTTCCAGTGTCGCTTTATGTTCTGTGGAAGAGAAGGCCCTTTAACCTGTATAACGATGAGTAAATGGTCGCTTCCACATAAATGGGTTTTAGTTCTCCAGATGCATTTGGGGGCCAATCTGATGTCCGCAATGCTTAAGTCAATAGCAGAGAGACTATTACTTCCTGAGCCGAAGTGGGTAAATGAACCGGTATTTAGAAGAGTACCAGTGCTGCTAAACTCTAAAAATTTAATAACGCTGAGTCCTCTATGCCCAATATCTGGTAATGGGGAGCCCCAAAGTAAACCATTTGCATTAAAATCCCCCAGAAGAAGATACGGCCTTGGTAGCTGATTAGCAATGTGTTCAATGTCATCCTTTGAGAAACCGACGGCGGATGGTATGTAAATGTTGCAAATCGTCAGAGGTTCAGCTTGTTTGATTACTGTTTCTATGTGTGTGTCTAAATTTAATTCCTTGGAGAATAAGTCAGTATTTTTGTAAGTCATCTTTTGTCACGATTTTGTAATCAAATTATCTTACCATCCTAGTGGAAACCAATTGGGTATAAACGAGTTTTTCTACTAACTAAATAGACAAAATTTGCCCACCTTCAGATTGAAAACGCCCCAAGAGCTTTCGTAAATAGAATAGTTGTAGGTTACGCTGATATCTAGCTATCCACGAAGTTCCAGGAGGGTGTTAATAGTTTGATGAAAAGGGTCTCTACCATGGACTATTATAGATTTGTACAGTTAACGTCCAAAGGTGAACAAATTTCAAGCAATGACTTCATTTAGAGGTAGTAAAGCTTCTTTGTTTTGGAGGAGTTTTTTGTTTGAAAGCTTCGTTGCGTCGTTGCGTTGAGCTCGTTGAGAAGCTTCTTTGTTTTTCGGAAATATCAACGAGCAAACAAGCCTGTCTTCTAAGTAGAATCAGAAATATTTCCTTATCTGAATTTTATCCAAGATGTTCTTTATCCAAGAACACCTTCGATGATAAAAAATCAATAAATTTGGTGAGGAATTCACGTAAGTGCCAAAGGTACTTCTTTTTGAGACAATTGACTATAATAATAAGAAGTTAAAACGAAACAAAGAAGTGCGTGTGACACTTGTCGATCAGGCGTTCACTGAAGGGAGAGTCATAGTACTATTTAAGGATCTTTGTTCATTTAATCGTTGTGAATATGGAAATCCAAAAAAATATATATTTATTGATTCTTATTTCAAATATTTAATGTTGTGTATCTCATAATAATTCTTTCAAAATAAACAAAATGATCGAGTATGGAAACCAGGTTATTATTTTGGTCGATGTTACATGAAGGTAGGTTTGGATCCTTAATCCATAACTTGAGTTTTATAATCTTAAATTTACTGACAGCAACAAACAATAATATTGTAATAAATCATTAGATACTATTTGTTTTACAAAAATAACTGCAACGTTTTATATTAATCAGTCGTAAAAAACATCAAAAGGTTTGGAGCATAATTTGTGAGGTTCTGAATTCAAGATAATGTTAATGTAAATCTATTTAGATACTTCTTACTTTCATTTACTCGTGTATTTTATTATTGTTAATAAAGTTTCTGGTTTCCTAATACCAAATCGCACTGTCAACAGTCTAAAGTAAATTCTGTTAATGGTAATTGATGATTTTCTTTTTTCAGCTACTGTCTCAGAGAGTAGCTGCTCCCGAAGGATCTGCAACGGACTACTACGTTCAGAGAGCGAACAGGATGCTATGGGAACACATGAGAAGAATAAAAGTTCCAGATGTTTCTGTTGGTGTGCAAATGTTAAAGTAAGTTGGTAACTGATAAGTACAGTTGTACTTATTTCATAACTATCGGAAATTACTGATGACTTATATATATATTTTAATTGTACTTTATCTATCTCTTCTAAACCAGAACTAAGTATTACTTCAAACGAAATATTGTTTCTGGCTGTATTATACTTTTAAAAAAGGAAATACATAACAAGTATTCGTAATTTCTTTCCAAGTCACTAAAATATAAAAAAAAAATATTTATTCCGTTATATTTAATCAATATTTAGATTATTTTTTTATAAATCTTTATTTAATCTCACTGCCATTACTTAAAATTTTAAAACATTAATACATTATTTAAAATTTTCTTTTTTAACGTTTCGGCACCAAGAGCCATTTAAAAAAGTTCGTTCTCTTTTTCAAAAAACAATTAAAAAAAAATATTATCCATCATTAAAATAATATTATTTCTATTTTTTCCCTTAAAATATAAATATACTATAAATAATGCTATTCTATGGTAGTACCTGTTTTATTTCTTATAAAATGCTTTATTTTATTTTCCAAAAATCCACAAGTCTTTCCTTCCTTTTTTCGTTTTACCAAAAATCGCTCCTGTATTTTAACAGTAATCTTTAATGTAAAATCTAAGACAAACTTTCTTTTATAAAAAAAACCAAGACCGTGAGATTAAATAAGGGTTTTGTAAAATATAATCTTTTATAGATTAAATACAATAATATTTAGAAAATCTCACATTACCTAAAGAAGGTTTTTTGTCATATGTATTTATTTATAACAGTAAATAGACAAAATAAATTAATTTTTTTTTTTTAAATAACTCCAATTTTATGTATAGTTTTGTTTCTTATATATACTATAAGTGCTGTATCATTGGATACATTTTAAGGTCTTGCTGAGCCTTCCTTAGTCCTGTTAATCTTTATTTCTTGAATTTTGATCGGGGTGGTGGGGCACACCTCTGTCTTGATAACTTTCTTCTAAGACTAATTTAAAATCTAACTTGTATCTTTATTTTCCCATCGCTGAGGAGCCGGCGGAAATGTTATAGTATTGAATTCACTGTTGGTTAAATATTTTAACGAATCATAAAATTTTATTATACCTCTGTTTATAAATTATGTTACGGAAAACTTAAGAAGGCGTGTAATTTATCAGATTTTTCTTTTTCCATTGATGTGTTTTCCGCTACTCTTTTTTAAATTCCATTTTGGAATTGCTGAAGTCTCCTGCTTGTGTTTTCTTAAATGTGGGAGAGTAGCAGAGCAGCATAGAGAACGGAAAGGCGAAGAATGAATTTGTAGATAAGTAATTTTAACCTGAGGTTGATGTTTGAAGTTGCGAGGAGGTGACTGAATTTGTAGGATCTTTGTCTTACTTTTGATAATTTTGAAGTGCAATGAGCGGTAAATTTTAGACGTCTGTCAAATTTAATTCCAAGATACACCAGATTATTTGATATTTTGTTATATGAATCGCCAACTCGAATTCTTTTAGGTAATTTTCCTTATTTTTTTTTTAAACGAAAATGTTAAACAATCGGTTTTTGTTGAATTTACTTGTATATTTAGTAATCTCAGTTCATTTTGTGTGATAGTGCAGGTCTTTTCCGCTTGTTTTAATGCTTTTGTAGTGTTCATACTGCTACTGTATATAGTAATGTTGTCTGCATATGCTATTACAGATGCCTTCGTATAATTTTTGCTAATTAATTCAGCAGTGTAAATGTTGAACAAAGTTGGTGAAAGGAACGCACTTGAGGTACTCCACATGGTAAAGGTATTGTATTCAAGTAATTATCACCAACAAGCACAGCGAGATTTCGGCCATTGGGGAACGGTTTCAAAATAGTTAGTTCAACTGTTCTGGGCATTGCAAACACTTCAATTTTTAAATTTGAATGGAATGCAAAACAGAATCGTAAGCCTTTGAGCAGTCAATCGAGATCATGGCAGTGGCAGTGTTACGTTCCAGTTTTAGGGTAATTTGATTTTGTACTTTTGCTAAAGGATGCTCAGTGCATAGCTGAGGACGAAATCCAGTTTGTTGATTAGGGATTACGGAATGTTCATGGCAAAAGTCTTAGAGATACTTTAAGATTATCTTCCGAATATTTAGGAAATATGGGGCATCAAATTTTTTGTACGAAAATGCTCAGTTTTATCGCCTTGTTTTTCAGATTTCAGCAAGGGATACAATTTAGCATGTTTCAGAGATGTAGGAAAACATCTGAACCTAATACAACTGTTGTATATGTGAAGAAAGATATATCAAAGCTATCTTCGGATGTTTTTTTAGCGGAATTTTTTTAATTTTATCTAATCCTAAAACTTGGTTTCCTTTGGTTCTTCTGAGAATACTTTTCAATGTTTTGGGAGAAACATACATGAATTTTTTTCTTTGGATGATCAAATCATTTGGTTTGATATCATGGTGCGTTCCAAGATTTCCTTGTGATAATATTGAGCCAACGTATCAGCTTGTTTCATTGTCGGCATTAGCCTCTCACCGTGGTGTATTCTGGCCGAATTTGTCTTATTTAAGGTTATCTATAGAAGCTTCCAAAATTTACGATGATCTCCATGAGTTGCAAGAACTTTGTATTCCCATAGTGATGATTTCCATTTCTTTATTAAATTTCTAATTTGTGTAGTAAAACTATTAACAATCCTTTTGTAATTTGGATTTTTAGTACGATACCACCTATTTTTCCAAGTATTTCTTCGAGCTATCAATTCTAAGATGTGATCAGGTGGAGTCCTTTGCTAGGGAAGAAGAGGTGCGAAGGGTGGAATGGATGAATTCGCTGCACATGAAATTATTCCAACGAAAGCATTTATAAATCCAGCGATAGTACCTGTGTTGTGGAAGTGATGTGAGTCTGGCTTTTACTAGTAATCGATGGAGATTCCAGTCATCTATACAATAGTCATATTTGGTTGGAGCCGGTCGATCGATCTTTTCTAATACCTCTTAAATAACCAGGAGATAGTCTGAAGAGAGAAAACCTACAGCATAACAATCTCTGAGTTTATGCTGCTGGCGAGTTAAAAGAAAATTGTTTATCAGGTTTTTGAGAATGTATGTTTTCGGTGGAAAGTTTGCGACCACCTTCGTTTCTCCTCTTCAGATATTCCAGGAGTTCGAATATCTTTGGACATTGACGAAATTAGGCACATGTTCTTCCTTGCAATTGTTACACTTCACTCTGTTTGCCTCTCGCCGGCATTCCTTTATATAATGGGTCCCTGAGCAGCGTACGCAGACAAGAATACGATAGCAATGATTTTTAGTGTGTCCGAACATTTGGCGTCGATAACATTGAAGGACTTCTTAGGATTTTTAGAACTTCACTATGCGAACTAAGACACGGTTCAAGACTTTTATTGTCATAATTACTTGAGAATCAACCTCCGGTGATGTGGTTATGAGAATAGGAGATAAAACGGTTTTAGCATCGCTGGCATCAGTCCTCTGAAGGCGGCATATGTCTAAGATGTAATGTAAAGTCACTTTAACTTCATCAATATTTTGATCAATATCGAAACCTAAGATTAAGAATTTTTGATGCGGCTGATTGCTGCCACGGAGTGCAAATGTATGAAACTGACTACCTTTTGCTACGATGAGGTTTTGGATTTTAGTTTAAGGTTCGAGATGTACTTTAACGGATAAACTTTAGCGCAATCGCGGAACTTTTGAATGTCATACTCCGTAATATGATTTGTGTTCAGCAATAAACGTATTTCTGTGAACTTATATCAAGCGTTCAGTACTATGGATGATGGTTTCTCTATTGGGATAGAGGCGTTTATATTATCTAATGGTGCATTATTCGATAAAGAATCGGAAACATTAACTGTAGTTACTTCTTGATTCTGAGTCTTGGCTGTTTTCTTAGCATAGACGTAACCGTCGGTTGTTTGGCTAATCTTTCTCTTATCCGACTTGGATTCCACTTCCATATCTTAGATCACCTGAACGTTGGAAAGGTGGAGGGAGGGAGCCAAATTCGCGGAACTGAAAAGTGGAATGTGGCTGGTTCCTGGGGGTTGGCCCAACCTCCAATCGGAAGACCGATCCGATATAGGTGGGCTTTTATTACCCATGAACCCGTGGTTCAAAATAACCACGCTAAAAAAGCTTCATCAATTCGAAATGCCAGATGAACTTTTCGAGATGATATTTAATCAATCAATCAAAACAAATCAATCATCAATTACCGAATTGAGTATGTAACCCCTAAAAGTATTGAAGTAAGGCTGATTGTTAAATCGAGGGATTGCGTGAAATGAATAGTACAATATCCCGGGCCATAAAAATGGTTAGACTTAAAAAAATTATGCAGAGGTCCAGGCTCTTTTCATAGTATAGAAAAAAAAACCATACCTTTTAACCTTCATTAATATGTAAGTACTTTTTAGAAAAGGAAAAAAAAAGGAATCACTTTATGTAATGCCTTGGAGAATACGGAAAATGAAAAAAAAAAAATCAAAAACGTCACTTTTATAATAAATTGTTTAGAAATAATATAAATTATATAGAATAAAATAATTTATTACCAACTTTCTGTCTGTCTTTTTATCTAATAACTCCTTTCTCGGCAAAAATAAATTTTTATTTGATGAGACGTAAACATTTTGTATTTGTATTCTGTGTTTTTGAAATTAAAATACTTTTGGTCATTTGCATTTGAAATACTTTTTTTTCTAAAATAAATTAAAATTATTTGTAATTAAAATACATTTGATTCTAAAAACATAAAATTATTGTTATTTATAAAAAAATAATTAAAATATTTTTTCTCAGTTCTGTTCTAAACTATAAAGCCATTTTTAATGAATATTTAGTTTATTTAAAGCACACATCGATGGCTCGATGTAATGAAATGTAAAGAGTCTGAAATTCTTCCCTGAATCATCGAAGAGCTACTGCTATCCATTTTCTCATACTTAGCAATGCTTTCCAAAACCAACTCTTCTGGGATAAGGAGTGTTTCATCTTTTCGG